CACACGCGCCCAGACACACGCGCCCAGACACACGCGCCCAGACACACGCGCCCAGACACACGCGCCCAGACACACACGCCCAGACACACGCACAGACACACGCTCAGACACACGCTCAGACACAGGCTCAGACACACGCTCAGACACAGGCTCAGACACACGCTCAGACACACGCTCAGACACACGCTCAGACACACGCTCAGACACACGCTCAGACACACGCTCAGACACATGCTCAGACACACGCTCAGACACACGCTCAGACACACGCTCAGACACACGCTCAGACACACGCCCAGACACACGCCCAGACACACGCCCAGACACACGCCCAGACACACGCCCACACACGCCCACACACGCCCACACGTGCACGTGCCCACACACGCCCACACACGCCCATACACGCCCACACACGCCCACACGCGCACGTGACCACACACGCCCACACGCGCCCCCATGCCCGCACGCCCACACGCCCACGCGTCCAAACGCCCACACGCCCACATGCCCACACTCCCACACTCCCACACGCCCCCACACGCCCACGCACACGTCCACCACCCACACGCCCACACGCCCACACGCACACCACGCACACGCACACCGCGCACACGCACGCCACGCACACGCACACCACGCACACGCACGCCACGCACAGGCACACGCACTCGCACTCACACTCAAATACATATCTATCTATCTATCTATCTGCTTATATATATATATATATATATATATATATATATATCTATATTTTCATCCACACACACAGACGCATACGCATAGGCACACACATGCAGATACAGATGCATATATGTACATGCACACACACACAAGCAGGCAAACAGACACATACACATACACGTACACATGCCCTTACACATACACATGCACATGTGTATGTGCATGTGTATGTGTATGGGGATGCCTATGCGTGTGCCTATGGCGGAGGATGGCGGAGGCGTAGGCGCAGGCGTATGTGCATGTGTGTGTATACTGTGTACACATGTGTTCCCTGCTCACTCCCCATCAGTTCCCTACCCCTCTACCCGTCCCCTGTCCCATGGTTGGGGATAGGCAGAAACACTTGCCGTCTTTCCAAGCTTAAGGCCTAGATGCTGCGTTTGCTCCAGCATGCCACAGAGCAGAAGTTGTAATCGTCGCTGTCTAGTCGCATGCTGTGCATGCTCTAATAACATTCGAATTCGTACCTGGCGGCTGCGCAGCCTTCCAGCTAGGGCTGGGGGGTAGTGCATTCTGCCAGGTGTGGTTGCAGCTATTTGTTACCAGTATTGTTATCCTGTTTGTGATTGTTAAACAGTACACTAGAGTCACTGCTAGACGTATTGGTGTTACCCTCTTCCCCTTGTGCATGGTGCCCCTGTCCCTGTGGTAAGCCTTCGTTTTTGGGCGGTTTCCCCTGTGCAAAAGCAGTGCCTGTCCATTGCATTGGCACTCGTCGCCGCGTCCCCCCCCCGTCCGGTGGGTTTGGATAGTGGTCTGTTCATGTCTGTTCCGTACGAACGGTGTCTGCAACCTGCTCCCACAACAACAAAGACAATCATGCAGATCAGGATTACTTGCCAGCAGCTGTTGCCATAATTGAGGCGAAGTTGCCCTGAATGTCGAAAGCTTGCTAAAGTCATGAGAAATGTGTCTCCAACAGGTCCGACGGGATGGATGAATTGATGGTTGGATGGATGTCCGTATGTATGTATGTATGCATGTATGTTTGGGTGTTTATCTGCCCCTATGACTGTGTGTGTATATTTGTCTGTACATACCAAGGCCATGGAGCATTACACAGACTCGGCGGACCTCAAGCGTGTGATGCCCGGGCCTCAGACCTCCACAGGGCTGTGGATATTGTGTAGTTTTTCGTTGCGTCCGTGCCCTAGGATTGAAGTGCGGCGCCTCATGTAGGCCGCGGCGATACTGTTTGGATCTTGTTTTGCCAGCCCTCCCACCCCCGCCCCTCGGTTGTTCGTTTGGGTCCGGTTGAAATTTGCATCCCTTCTTGCGTGTTGCCCGATGTATAATGACCTCTATGGAGGT